TTGCTGTTGTGAATTGCAAATAAGTATAGGATTGTAGGCTGTTTGCATGCAGATTTCATTTCCTTTGGATATATTCCAAGGGATGGGTTGGCTGGTCAATATATTTGTACAGCATGATACTAGACTTGTTATCTTTACCTATATATACCTATACCTATGATGCATTTAAATACCAGAAGCTGTTTTAACTTAATGAGGGACTATATTACTGTGATAATTCAGGCAATAATATTGGGGTTGAGGCAGGGGCAGAAAAGGAGAGAGGAAAGAAAGAACTCATATACTTACAAAACTGTGTTGTGGTTAATTCTAAATAAATTATGAGGTTAAAAAAAAAGATTGCTTCAGCTATTCAGGATCTCTCCTTCTTCCAAACGCATGTCCTTAATATTTTGGTTGGGATTGCATTGAATCTAAATTGCTTTGGGTAGTGTAGCCATTTTGATATTACTTCTTCCAGTCCATGAACAGGTAAGACTTTGTAAGACTTTTCCATTTTGGGGGGTGGGTGTCTTCTATTTTCTTAATGTTATGTAATTTCATCATGAAGATCCCTTGTGTCCTTGTTAAAGTTATTTCAAGGTATTTAAATGTTTATGTAGCTATTGTGAGTGGAACTGATCTCAAAAATTCTTTCTCTGCTGTGACATTGTTTGTATATTCAGTGGCTATTGATTTTTGTGCATTGATTCCATATCCTACAACTTGACAGAACTCTCTTAAGAGTTTCACTAGTCACTGAATGGAATTACTCAGCTCTCTGCATAGAAAACCATGTCATCTGCAAAGAGATAATTTCTCTTCCTTGTTCCCAACTTTTACACTTATTTTTAAATAGGGATATTTAAGATCTACTCTTATAGCAACAGTCCAGAAAACAGTATGTTATTAATTCTTGAGTAAAACGGGAAATACTTGGGTAATTTTCAAGAGAGTGATATGTTTCCCTATATGTGTTAAAAACTTCTGTGGGAAATTGATTTGTTGTGTGAAAGAGAAGGAAGGTGACCAAGGTGGTATCTGCTTGAGATATGATAGTAATTTGGAATAGGGTGTGTTTCTCTGATTGCTGTGGAGTGAGAGAGATTGAGATCAACTTACATTTATGAAATCAAATTTATAAAGTTTATGGAAGGCTCATCTTTGAGGAGTGAGGGCAAAGGTGATTCTTATTTTTGTTGTTTGGGTATATAAAGGTAGCACAGATGAATAGGGAGGTCAGATCAAGAGCTCAATTTTAGTTGGGTGAGCAATAAGAGGCCAGTGAGGACATCCAAATAGAATGTCAGTGTCCTTTGGCCATAGTGATACAGCACGTGGAAACAACCTGTCAGTGTTGTTTCCTTTGTGGTTTCCTTTAGAGATATGAGGGCCTGTGTCACTGCCTCTAGAGAAAGAATTTTCTCAATCACAGACCAGAAATAATGGGACACAGGTGTTTGTCCAGATTTAATTTCTGGTGAAAACTAAATGGCAGAATCTGCAGTTGGTCCTAAATTGATGCTTTAAAAATGTTAGTATTGTATGAAAGGATTGTAATCCACAATTATTATCAGAAAGTAGTAATTGGGAGTTGTTTGTGATCACGGGTTTTTAAATCTCAGAATTGCTTGCTTACTTGTCTTAATAAGAATTTCATTTACATCATCATTTTCCCACTTACTAGGTAGGTTACCTTGGGTAAATAATAATCCAGACACATTTTCCTAATCTGTAAGATAAGAGTGAGTTTTAGGGTTGTGAGCATTGAACAATGCAATATGTGCAACTTGCAATTCCTGGCATGATGAAAGAAGCTGATTAATGGCAGCTTTTGTAATTAAAATGTGGTTTGTGTTTGGTCAGCACAACTTAAAAATATCAATATGTAGTTCTAGTTATAGAATGATTTCAAAGACTCTAGAGTCTCTTTTTAAGAATAGCAAAGTAAAACAATTTAACTATGGGTGGTTTATTTATAAATATGTTCCATAATGTGATCATATGTTCTAATAAAGAAGAAAAATAATATGTGAGAATGCTATTGACTGAAGAGTCTCATGAATGTGATGCAATGGATTAAATCATTGCTTGCAACCCTAGGGTATCATGTCTTAGTGCTGGTTAAATTTTTGGCTGCTCTGCTTGCAGTGCATCTTCCTGTTAATGTTCCTGGGAAGGCAAATAAAGAGGCCTCAAGTACTTAGTTCATTTCTATCCATGTAAGAAACTTGGATGGACTCCTCCGTGCTGGCTTCAGCCTGGTACAATCCTGATTATTGTGGCCATTTTGCTGAGCAAAACAGTAGATGGACGATTTTCTCTCTGTGTCTCTATCTTTGTGTTTATATTTGCTGCTGTGCCATAAATAAATGAATGAATCTTTTAAGAATTTTCCCATTTTTGGCAAATGGTCAGGTTCAACCAAACTGGATATGACATTACCTCATTTTGTTACATAAGCCCTTCATTATCCTTGAAATACAGTTTGCCCACTTCCTGCATTGTGATTTAACAAGTACATGTTTGATAGAGAGCTACACATTAGAAAATAAAATTTAAGGCCCTATATCTTCATTTAATTGATAAAAATAATTGTGCATGTCTGTGGGGGCGTATTTCTAGTTTTTATGAAGTTTACATTTATATTCGCAATTGTTTAAGGACACTTGTTCAGGCTGTAAAAAGTGGGTGGAAAGATGACATGTACTGAAGGACATTTATATGACATTGAGTCAGTGTTTTAACATGAAGGACAATATGACAACTTAATTATTGATCACTTCATGACATTTCCTGTAGCAAAGAGAGCTGTGATGGCTAAAAAATTGCCACTTTGGTAGCAAAAACATCAAGTACTTTTTGTTACAATGATTCTTGTAAACCTTTCAAACACTCATAGAATTCTCAATTGCCTGATACTTTTCTAGTAAGGTAAGCTCTTGTTTGGATTTTAATTGGGAAAATCACCATTTGGTAGGGCAGAGGTGAGTGAGGCTGACTGTAGTAGCACCCTGGTCACCTAGGGCAGTGTATTCTCTAATGTCTCAAGGAGTGACTACATCTTTCATTTTTAGAATGCTGTAATTGAAAGGGGTTGAGATTGAAGTTTATCTAGTTCTGTAATTTTAATATTATTAATCTAGAAACGGTTATTTGGTCGATATACTAAAATATAGACTCATAACTTCTGTTTGAATCATGAGCAATGTTCTTAAACCCTGTATAGCAATTCATCTGTTTCTGCCTATGAAGACCAAAACAATTTGAAAGTCATTAATGTCATTCATTCTTTATACGTATAGCTTTGTGGATAAAGTAGTTTATAATGCTTGTTACCTGCAGACCTGATTTAAAAATTAAATGTCTTGACATCAGATTGATCATTTTCTATGATACCACAATATGTGATATGTCATGGTAATTATTGTTCTCTAAAATGTATTGATTTAAATATGATAAAGGACTTTTATATTTCTTATCATATTTTGACTTTACAAATTCCTCTTAGTTCATCTGCAAATTCTGTAGAATATGTGAAAAGTTGGTGGAGCTATTAGTGAAGTAAGGGGGAAAATAAGGGGGAAAAAATCAGAGACCTGAAACATTAAAAATGTATGATTCCATCCTGCTAGAATGGGATTTGCTAGTGTGAGATGTGTAAGGCAAAGATCTTGTAGCATATATCCTTTAGTGAGTAAAGTAGGAAATATCCACTTTTTGGAAGGAAAATTGTCAGTACAGATTCTTGGTTGGGGCCTAGAAGAGCAAACTTTGATCTCCTTCAAGCATAGAGGGAGAATTTATTTTCCCTGTGTGGCTGAATTCTCACATCACAAGGCAAAAATGTGGTTGAAAGTGATTTTGAGTTGATAGTTGCCCTAGGCACCTAACAGAAGCTAACATGAATCTTCTCCCAAGAAATACAATTTTAAAACTAAAACCTAAAATAATCCCTAAATATTAAATTATAAAAATTTGAACTCACAAATTAAAAAAATATTGAATTACAAGCAAATCAGGCATAATGGATGATGCTCAGTACGAACTTCAGATTGAAAACTCTGATGAACAGAGATGGAAAACACTTCTGTTATCCTTCAGAAAATTTATGTGAAATATGTTTGTAGAAATGTTTCAAAAAGAAACTAAGGCACTGTCAACATTGATCAAGCAAATTGAAAAATAGATTTCTAGAAAATATGAATAAGTGAAACTGAAAATAATGCAGGTAAGAATAGCTCTAGAGTGATGGAATAAAGTCAAAGACAAACATGAAAGTCACACAGAATTCAAAGTAGAAAACAGCCCATTCATGAACTCATGAATGGAAAAGCTCTCTGTCCTACTCTTTCCCTTGCTGTGTGTCTATCTCTAACAAAATAATTTAAAACAAAACTCTTTTTCTAAAAAGAGTGTTGAGTAAATATAGATTGAATAATGGTTTAAAAAGTGCTATGACATCATTGCATAGAAGCATTGTGTATAATTTAAACCCTGCAAGTAAGTTAGATGTGCATTTGTGGTAAAATGGAATGTTTGTACTATGGCACAATTTACAACATTGACGAATGCTTTTGGCATTAGCACATTTTCATAGAAAAAAAGTATGCTATAGGTGGGAAATGCAGTATGGTTTCATTTATGTGAATTTAAAAAAATGACAAAACAAAATGATATATTGTTTAGGAATGACAATATGTAACTATATGTGGTAAAATTATAAAACTATAAAAGGAAGTGATTAACGCTAAATTCAGAAAGTTGTCTTTGGCAGTCGGGAGGGGGACCTAATGGGGAGTGAAGACATGACATACAAATTCTTGATGTATTCATTTTATTTTATGTATACTCATATTCTTTTGATATACTTTATATGTATTCTAAATTCATAATAAGACAATTATTTAGAAATTACTCATGTACAAAGATAGTAAAAAAAAAGCGTATTTAATACTTTATTATTTGGAGTTGTTTTATTCTCTTCTTTTGTGCTTTAAGAATTCATTTGCTTCTTCTAGGTCATAACTTTTGTGCTGAAGGACCTAAATGTGGTGAAAATTCAGAATGCAAAAACTGGAATACAAAAGCTACTTGTGAGTGCAAGAACGGTTACATCTCTGTCCAGGGAGACTCTGCCTACTGTGAGGGTAAGGAACAGAATAATTCTTTGTGAGAAATGTGCTCTCAGTTCATATGGCTAAAGGTTTTGTATGAATTTGGTATGATGGCTTACTGTATAAAACAGTACCAACTAGCCAGGGTACTTTGTTCTCTTGGTTTTATCCAGGCTGCTTTGCTTAACATGGGATAGCAAGATTTTTTGAAGGCAGTTTTGAAACACAAAAAGGCAACAGAATAAGAAATATCTAATCTTATGTTCTGCTATCAGTGTAAGCTAATACTCATTGGAACAACTATAAATGCATTATTTTCAGTTTTTTATTTCAGCAAATTGTGATCTAAAAGCACAATTAAGCGTTACATGATAACTTATTTCAAATGATATTTTGACATTAGCTTGTAATGAAGTACTATCCCATTCACCTGTCAAAGTGAAAATTTTTGCTTTTTACTTTTGGGTTTGTTAATGGGTAATTCAAGTGTTATCAATGACCAAACTTCGCTAAGAGCCACAGTGACAGAGGTTCTCCTTAGTTTGGCTCATGGGCTGATACCATTATGGTGGTGATGGTCTCAGGCATCAGAGACCCACGTTTCCATTCTACCTTCTGTGAACACTTCTGTACAAGTTCAGCCTGCTGTTGGTGAGCCTTGTATACTCGTATTGCATCAACATCCTAGAGGACTAAGGTTATCTCAGATCCTGGTCTGAGTCTGTCGTGCTTTGACACCTGATTCCATCCATTTCTAACATGTTACCAGGATCACTCCCATTATTTCAGAAAAGTTCTAATTGACAAAGTGATAGTTGGGCTGTTTATTCTGGTTTCTGTCAGTTCAATACCTCCTGCTGTCTTCATTGATTAACTATTGAGCCACTGGGGATCTGTTAATCAACTGGTGTGGAAGTGAATGACTGTTGCAACATCTTAGTTATTCTCTTGCAAATGATTTGGTTCTTGAGTGGGTCAGATTTTCTTCAGGTAGAATTTAGTAATTGATAACAGCAATGCTAAAATCATTTTAATTTTGCTCTTTCTATATTGCTGAACACTGCTTAGAGTTTTGGGTTTGACTAAAGAATTTTTAAATGTATATTTAGCTTTCATTTTCATAGTGCATGTGTTAGTGATATTTGTCTTTGCTTATTTCATAAGCTTAATGATCTATAGGTGCATTCATTTTTCACAAATCTAATTATGACTAGTGTTCAGCTCCTGGTAGGTAGCCTCTGTTTTAATTTCATTTGAAAGATTTTCTTAATGACTACCATCCTTCTAATTATCAATATATTCTAGTTAATGGATCCCCCATCATTGTAATAATTCCTTTATTTTGCTTATTTTATAGATTTGAATTTGATTAGGAGAGCATGTTACTTGAGAGAACAAAGCTATTCTTTGATTCTAAACTTTTCACTTACCTTTTAATACCATTTTAGATATTTGTTAATTTAAAGGAAGGGGATTATTAACTCCAGTATTTCATAGTGAATCTTACTGTATGCTATTTTCTATCAAGAAATTGTATAATAAAAAATTAAAGATCTGAACACTCTCTCCTCCACTTACCATGGAAGATTCTTGTAAGTCAGATAATATTTTAGTATATATGACAACAGGCTGAAAAATTATAATAATGGTAGAAGGAACAATAAAATTATTCAAATACTGAATTCATCACTGTAGACCTTCTAGTTTGGAATCAGGATACTCACCATTCCTGGGCCTTCCTTTAGCTGTTGAGACTTGGAAGAATAGAGAGGAAAATTTCTGATGTTATTTTCCTAATGCTGTTAGGAACTTTGATTCCTCATTGATATTGCTGTTTATTATGTGAATTCAGTTCCTCCAAGAATTGTATGTGATAATAAACCTGCCTTTTCTATATATGGCCTGATTTTATAGATCACATTATTTCAGATGCAAATCACTGCTTTTGCAGATGTGTTACTGCTTATCTTAGTATGTGAACTGGCCTTTCATCACCATGTAGTGTGATGCTATTTTGAGTAATGGCAATGCACAGGGTCTTCAGTTGTATCTCTGTTATCAGGAGGACTTTCCAAAAGTTCCAGATGATTTGTAAGGAGAAGTGGCAAAATATTGGAGCCTCCTGGCAAATAAGAATGGAACTCAGGCGTAAGTTTAAATCAAATACTGGGTATCTGAATGAGAAGCACTGAAAATCACGTAGAGAATACCAACAATTAGGGCAGATCTGTTTCATTCCATTCTGTCGTCTTTATGTGCTGATCTGTGGTCTCTGTTTGTATGCTTCTGTGATTTCATGGTAGCAGCCACAGCTCCAGTCATGGTGTCTTCCTACCAGCATCCCCATAAAAGGGAAAAGAGGAAGAGTCAGGGGATGCCAACTATCGCTATGTGGGGTCATAATCTTTCGTATCCAAAGAAAGCCCTTGTTAAGGAGTCACCTGTCCCCATCTCTGCCATTACCCTGTGCAGAGGACTTCTTTTGTCTCCCTCTTCAGATCTGGGTTACATCCCACCCCCACTTACAAGCAGACCAGTGTTTGGGTAAAGGAAATGACGTGACCATCACTAGTTTGGGTTAACTGTGATTATCCCCTGAAGTTAGACTAGGGGTTGGAGTAGGAGTTTCTGGACATTAACCCAACTTTCTCCTAAGAATTACCCTCTAGACTAATCTGATAGAAAATGTCAGAGATGATGGGTGAGAATCAGAGGCGACGCTCATTGTCCCACCTTACTTTAAACAGAACTAGATACTTAGAAACTACTTCAGGCAGGTTATTTTTCATCCAGGATAAATGCAGTGAAAATGACCCACAGTGTAAAAACCACAATGAACAAGACTAGCTGGCAAATTAAAACAAAATATTACAGACATTGTCCAAGCTCTCTTGCAAGGGCTATTCAGGCTCACTTTGAAAAAGAAGTACAAAAGACTTTCAATTTTCTTAACTTGCTAGACTGGTAGCAGAGTTGTGGCATATTAAGGACTCCTGTTCTGCAGAGATTGTCAGAGAAACTGCAGTAGGGAAGATATCAGAGCTTCTAGCCAATCAATAAAGGATAATAAGCCCCTTTGTCAGCTATGGTACAATTCGCAGGAAGCCATTTCATTTCTCCTTGTCCAGTTCAAGCTGGAATACTCCTCATTTTGATAAGTGCTCTGGTTGGCATTTACTATTTTATGAATCTTTTGGCCTGAGAACTTCTTTTCCTTTGTGATGACATTTTCAATCAGTTGGATTTTGATAGTTTTTTATTTTTTTACATTAGTTTAAATTAGAAGTAGTGTGTGGAGGAAGTATAGCAATGGGTATGTCCTACTCCTGCTTTTACCTCTTGGTTTAAAATCTATGTGTATAGAGTGTCATAAACGTTTCTTCCTTTGGTAGAAAGTTATTTCAAATAAGAATAAACAACATTGTAATCTGTGTGTATTAATCGTTCAGATATGTAAACTTTCACAATAAATGCAATAAATAGTTCTTTTACTTGCACAGTGTTCTGAGGTTTTCAGACTCTATGTGTGTTACGTGTTTGAGTCATAGAGTAAATCTGTGAGAAAAATCGAGAGTGGAAGTGCTATCTGCTGTTAACACTCTTTTACCAATTTAGACACCAAGACTTAGAGAAATGAAGATGAAACCCAACTCATTTTTTTCTCCTGTGCGTTATTCCCTGGCTTATGCTTCTCTATACCTAATCACTATTGATATTTCACATATTTGCTGCATCATGTTTGGCTGATGAAACATCGGTAGGAGTGATATGAATTTCAGAATAGAAGCTCTGAGTTTTTATTTTTTTGGTCTCTGCCTCATTGTGTTTTCTCTCTGACATAATAACTGGCATCGGTCCTGATCAAAGATTCTCAGCTTCTCTTTCGGTTAGGGCACCAAAATGAAGATGATGTGGAGCAGGGTGACAGCTGACAGTTAATGGACAGTATGGCACAAGTGAGAAATCATTTTTGTGTCACTGAAATTTGCAAGATTTGGGAGTCAAAACTATCATTTATGTGTACGTAACTTATCTTAGCTTTCCAGTATGTCACCTGCTATAAATTAATTACAAAGGTTATTGCCAGCTCATAACTGAAAGACATTTTTAGTAGAACAAACATTGAGCGTCATCAGAAAAAGTTCAAATTGTTTGAGTCATCAGTAATCTGTTTTGGCCTTACTGCCACGCAGTCATAAATTAGTGTTTTGTTTTGCCAAATCCACTGTGGTAAATTGGATTCCCTAATAAGGATGATCATAAGGCAATGATACTATCCACTAAACACGGGATAGATCCCAACAGTTTAAGTATTATTGCCATTATTATTATATTTTATATTTGTGAGGATGTTTCTTGAAATTGAGACAGTGTGTAGTCATTGAGGACAATATTTTGAGAATATGTGCTCCCTATATTCATGCTTTTCAGACTTCTCAGGTAGAAATGGACAAGTGTTTTCAGATGGAAGGATCAGGTGTTATCAGTTCTTCCAGGGAATGTTGTTGGCAGTGGGTGTTAAACATAATGATTTAGACAGATGAACTCCTTTCTTCCTCAGCAAAACATAAGTGGAACTGTGTTCAGAGAAATATTTTGGAAAAAATCACCTGTCTTTGTGTGAATTTAATCGATTCATGCAAGAAAGCTACTGTGAAGTCTGAAACACAGCAGCTGGTTATCAGGGTGACTTATAACTTCCTCCACGTGACTGCAGGTGATGAAGAAGTGTCTGATCCTTTGAGTAGTGAGATGCCAGGAAAGTGGTAGAGCAGAGTTCAAAGAGAAAGCAGTCCTCAGAATAGCCCTGCAGGTAGATATTGAACGGAGGCAGAAACAAGATTTTGTACACTCTTGTGTAAGAGGCTGTGTGGCAAAATAACCTAGTGTGGTTAGTTATACTTTTAATTATCCAGAAATTAATCAGGTAACTCTGCTTTCTTTATTTTAAATCTAAATGTTTTGCGTTTTACCAAACACATAAACATTATGATCTGCTTGGCCAGTTTATACTCAAATCCTGACTTTACTCT